CATTCCAGAAGCACCATCACTAAAGACAGAGCAAACATGGTACAATTCTACACTGAATAGTTTGAGAAATAACTGATTTAAAGCTTGACTGCACTGGTTACATGTGCATATTAGATCCAGGTAACAAATGTGCTGTCTGCTAATCTGCTTATAATAAGAAGATCCAGTTTAGTGTTATGCAAGCACAGTGATTAATTAAATTAACAAGGCACGCAAGGTATGCAGCTTGTCAGGGAGAAGTTTATCTTATTTTTGAACCATAATTTATATCCATGCATTCATGCCCGAAATGGCTAGAACAGAGGGAAGCATCTTTCACTGACAAGGAAACACTGTTTTAAATTCAGCTTTTGGGCAGAAATAACACCTTAGTTGTTAGACGAGGGTGGCTGGCACCAGGTGTCTATCAGCTCAGTAGAAGATGACTAGGAGCAGTGGTGAGGTGGGCTCAGGGCCAGCAGGGGGCGGAGGGGCGGTGACTTAACTTGGGGAGTGAGCCTTTAAAGAAATAATGGCGTTAAAATGAGGTCATTGCGCTGGGCTCAGAGCCAATGTGACTTCTGTTCTTCTAAGAAGAGAAACTGTGACACACAGAGAGATAAACCCATAAGTAAGAGATACAGGGAGAAGGTATCTGTCACTGGACAGGGGCCTGGTCCTGGATGGGTTTGCCTCAGGCCAGCCTGTAGTGTGTGGGTTCCTGACTCCATGTAGGAAAGATTTCGCAACACGAGCCCAGGTGATTTTGAGAGTACATTTATTAAAGCTGGGGACGGTGAAACAAAGGAAGGATTTAGGGTAGAGAAAGCCATGGAGAGAGCCAAGGCTGGGCTACTGTGGCTTTCTAGAAAAGTCAGAGGAAAGCAGGGCTTGGAGACAGGACTGGGGTTTCACCCAGCATGAGCTGCCACTGACCACTGCTCCTCTGGTTGCAAGTCTCATGGGGTCCCTTGGAGTTTAGGAGAAGGAAAGTAAGAAGTTCATGTCTGAGAAGGGGCATGGGGTGCTCTAGAGAGAACCCAACTGGTATCCTTTGGCTTGAGGCTTTTTTTAGCTCTCCTCTGTGGGCCAGAATCTTAGGGGAGGGTTTCAGCAGAATATTCATCAGTTTTTCAGGTGCATTTTTAGTAAGCTGATGCATCAAAATGAGTGCATAATGGGGCTTGATATTATTCCCTGGTCAATTTCACTGCTTTACTTTTATCTTGGGCCTGTCTGGCTCTAATTGGATTTTTGTAATTTGTTCCCCTGACTTCATCTGTCCTTGGGTTTAGCTGGCACAAATGGCATTAACTGGGTCTCTTTTCTCTATCTCCCTGCTCAGTGTGTTATCCTTTGGTTAGGGAGAAGTTTAAACCATTTTCTTTCAAGTGTCCTTGGTTGGAGAAGGTCTTGCAATTCACTAGCTGTCTGCAGACGGCTAGTTCAAATTTTATGGCTTTGTTTAATGTTCTTGCCTCAGTTTCCTAAGTCTACTTGCCCAAGAATTTTCCTTGCTTCTTACCATCCTGCTTCACATCTAAACCAAGGATAGAGACTTCAGAAGATACCAATCCTGCCAACACCTTCATTTAGGACTTTGGCCTCCAGAACAGTGAAACAATATAGTTCCCATGTTTGAACTATCCCACTGTGCTCCTTGTTATGGGAGATGTAGCAGATGTTTTCTCCTTCATGTCTTCATCTTAGTAAAGGGGTTAGAGCAATAGAACTCTAAAATTAGTTCTCCAGTTTTGACCATATTTTATTTTTTAACATATGATAACAAAGCCAATGTGTATTTAGTATTCATTTTAATTTTTGGAAAAAAGCATTATCCCATTCCCAGAAATAATCTTAATATTTTGCATGTAAAGACTGAGAGAGATGTTTAGGTCATAAAAATATTTTGTCATGAGTGATAAATTTTTTCTTTTAAGTATATTTTATTGATTATGCTATTACAGTTGTCCCATTTATTTCTCCCCTTTATTCCCACTGCCCTGCACCCCCCTCCTACCATCATTCCACCCCCCACCTTTTTCATGTCCATGGGTCATACATATTAAGTTCTTTGGCTTCTCCATTTTCTATCCTATTCTTAACCTCCCCTATTTTGTGCCTACCATTTATGCTTCTTATTTCCTGTACCTTTTCACCCACTCTCCCCTCTCCCCCTCCCTGCTGATAACCCTCCCTGTGATCTCCATTTCTGTGATTCTGTTCCCATCCTAGTTGTTTGCTTAGTATTTTTTAAGGTTCAATTGTTGATAGTTGTGAGTTTGGTGTCATTTTGCTGTTCATGGTTTTGATTTCTTCTTTTTCTTAGATAAATTCCTTTAACATTTCATATAATAAGGGCTTGGTGATGATGAACTCCTTCGACTTTACCTTATCTGGGAAGCACTTTATCTGCCTTTCCATTCTAAATGATAGCTTGGCTGGATAGAGTAATCTTGGATGTAGGTCCTTGCTTTTCATGATTTTGAATACTTCTTTCCAGCCACTTCTTCCCTGCAAGCTTTCTTTTAAGAAATCAGCTGATAGTCTTATGGGAACTCCTTTTCTCTTGCTGCTTTTAAGATTCTCTCCGTATCTTTAATCTTGGGTAATGTAATTATGAGGTACCTTGGTGTGTGCTTCCTTAGGTCCAACTTCTTTGGGACTCTCTGAGCTCCCTGGACTTTTGGAACTCTATTTCTTTGGCCAGATTGGGGAAGTTCTCCTTCATTATTTTTCAAATAAGTTTTCAATTTCTTGCTCTTCCTCTTCTCCTTCTGCATGTAAAGACTGAGAGAGATGTTTATGATTTATATCATAATTCATATGAATTCATATGTTGGAACATTTATAGTTGTCCTGGAGGTTCCTAAGCCTCTCCTCATTGTTTTTAATTCTTATTTCTTCATTCGGTTCTGGACGAGTGTTTATTTCTTCTTTCTGCTCCCAATCGTTGATTTCTGGTTTCCTTCCCTTCACTTTTGGTTCCCTGTATATTTTGCTTTATTTCACTTTGCATAGTCTTCACTTTGTCCTCTATTTTGTGACCATACTCAATAATTTCTGTGAGCATCTTGATTATCAGTGTTTTGAACTCTGCATGTGAAAGGTTGGCTATTTCTTCATCACTTAGTTGTATTTTTTTCTGGAGTTTTGAACTGTTCTTTAATTCGGGCCATATTTCTTTGTCTCAGTGCTCCTGTTACATTATAAGGGGCAGAGCCTTAGGTATTCACCAGGGTGGGGCAACCCACAAGGTGTTGTATGTGGGGGAGGGGTCAGAGAGGAAACAATGCAGCTTGCTTGGCTCTCACCCTGTTTTCAGTCACTTCCCCCATTACCTACAAGCAAATTAGGCCCTTCTGGTGCTGATCCCCAGGTGGGCAGGTTTGTGTACATTCTAGGACCCTGTGGGTCTCTCCAATGGACTCCTGTGAGGCTGGGAGTTTTTTCTGCTGCCGCAACCCCCACAGATTTTTACAGCCAGAGGTTTAGAGGCTTGCTTTTCCTGCGCTGGAACCCTAGGTTGCTTGGTGCGTCTCACTCTGCTGTTGTTCCTCCTGGTTTTATCCACATATGAATGTGGGACCACCCGGTCCACCATCCACTGCCTCTCCCCCCTGCCCTCCTCCACCTCCGTGGACCGCCAGCCACTGCTTTTCCACACATCCTCTCTGCCCCGGCTGCCTACCCCTCCTACCAGTTTGGATGAATGTTTCTTCTTTAATTCCTTGGTTGTCAGATTTCCATACAGTTTGATTATCTGGCAGTTCTGGTTGTTTTGTTTTTAAATTTGTTGTTGTCCTTCTTTTGGTTGTGCAAGGAGGCAAAGTATATCTATCTATGCCTCCATCCTGGCCAGAAGTTTTTTAATTTTTAAAATTAGTTTACTCATAATAACACAAACTGTATGTATGAACAATAAAAGCTGTAGAGATGACAGGCACATTCAAAAGAAAATTCAAATGGATGTTTTAAAAATCAAATCTGAAATGTGCCAGTTGGTTTTTACAGCACTGTTCCCAGTTTACATACAAACTTTTGGCAATGGTCTCCAATTTCTGAATAACCTTTTATGAGTCATGAGGGTCAGCAGACTCTCTTCCTCAGTTCAGAGCCCTTTGCTCCTCACTTAGTTTCTTGTTCTTCCTTAAAATGCTAAGCTCAGTAAGGGCCCTGTTGATACTTTCCAGGGTGAGGACAAGTGATGAGCTACTGCCACTTCAGGGCTGCAGACAAGGGCCAGCTTGGTACTGGTCAATCTTGAAACAAGGCCCCCTGTGTGCCAGTATTCAAGACACAGTCTTACATATTTCCCCAGAAAAAGTTTCATTATTGTGACTTTCAAGATCATTGCCTAGCAATATTTCTGCTGTGAGAGATGCCTTAGGGACTGGATATAGTCACGCACTCAGCAGCAGCCACTGGGCCAGACCCAGGTCACAGTTGTTCTAGTTGCAAATTTGTGCTAAAATTAGAACATTTATTTTTACTGAAAAAAATTGAAGATTTGACACCACAATACCTATAACTGCATACAGGGAACCTTGCACATAACCACCTACTCGTAACCTACTCAGATACTCAGATTATCTGCTCAACCTCTGTAAGCTTTTGTGTTACAGTCATTTACCTCTTTCCATGAACTCTGTGTACCTAAAGTAATGAATGCAGAATGTAGCAGTTGTTGAGAGGATAATTAATGGGGGAATAAGAATATTTCACGCTGTACATTAAGAAATGTAAATCATTTCAAAGTTTGTTATTTATGATGTATACATACAGCCAGTATTTTAATAAACATGTTTTTTCTCTTTCATTTATTTAGAATCTGCTTAGACTTCATAGAGAGGCAGCAAGAGAGGAAAGAAGAGGGAGTGGACTCATGAACTGTAGTGAGGACCTGGTTTACTGTGCCCACCTCTCTGGACCACTTTGTGATCATGTGTTTTGCACTATCACAAAGACCACAACTATCTTGACTATTCCTTGACTCTCTCCTCCAATGGCTTGAAAGAGAAATGACAAATGAGACCAGTGTGACTGAATTTATTCTCAAAGGCTTCTCAGACATACCTGAACTGAGGCTCGTGAGTTCCTCATTTTTCCTTTTCATCTACCTCTTTTCCCTCCTAGGGAACATCTCCATTATTGCAGCTGTGACCAGAGACAGCCATCTACAAAGCCCCATGTACTTCTTCCTGAAGAATCTGTCCTTCTTGGACATGTGCTACACCTCAGTCACCATCCCTAAGGCACTGGTCAATTCACTCATGGGTTCCAATGTCATTTCCTTTTGGGAATGTGTAGCCCAGCTCTTTTTGTTTGTAATGCTGTGTGCTTCTGAATGCTTCTTGCTCACGTCCATGGCGTATGACCGCTGTTTAGCCATCCACAAGCCTCTCCTCTATGGTGTCATTATGAGCAGAAAGCTGTGTACGGAGCTTGTCACTGTGGCCTGGCTGAGTGGCGCTCTCTATGCCAGCTTCCACACCATCAACACCTTCTCCCTCCTGTTCTGTGGGCCCAACATCATAGACCACTTTTTCTGTGACAGCTCCCCCATCATGAGACTCTCCTGCAGTGACTTCCACACCAATGAGGAAGTTGGATTTGTAGTGGGTGGATGTATCATTCTCAGTGCCTTTGCCCTCACTGTCATCTCCTATGTTGTCATCATCTCCACCATTGTTCAGATCCACTCTGCCGGGGGCCGTTGGAAGGCCTTCTCCACCTGCTCCTCTCATCTTGCCACTGTTACTCTGTTTTATGCTACTGGGAGCGTTGCTTACCTGAGACCTACATCTCAATACTCTCCCACTCAAGGACGACTACTATCTGTGTTTTACTCCGTCCTAACACCCAGTCTGAACCCTCTTGTCTACTGTCTGAGAAACAAAGACATGCAGGTGGCCCTGAAGAAGCTACTGGCCCCATCCAACTAGACACTGTTTTCTCATATTAAGCATATTGCTCTGAACCTTAAGATAAAATGAATTCATTTTCAGAAACATGCAACTTAGCAAAACTGAATAATGAAGAAACAAAAAATGTGAACAGATCTATAACAAAGAGCTTAAAACAGTAATTTTAAAAAGATACCCAACAATAAAAATCCAGTACTGGATGTTTTCACTGGTGAATTCTACCAAACATTTAAGAACAATTAATATCAATCTTCATAAAACTCTTCAAAAGAAAAAAAAAAAAAACTAAACAGCTAACACTTCCAGAGTCATTGTATGAGGCCAGCATTACCTTGATACTAAAGCCAGATAAAGACATTACAAGAAAATAAAACTATAGACCAATATTTTTGATCAACATGGATGCAAAAATACTCAAAAAAATTCTAGCAAACTAAATTCAATAGCACATGAAAAGGATTATACCCTCTGACCAAGTGGGATTTATTCCTGGGATGCAAACCTGGTTGACATATGTAAATCAATAAAAATATTATCCCATAATAACAAAATAAAAGATAAAAATCATATGATTATCCCAATAGATGCAAAAAAAAAAAAAGCATTTGAGAAATCACCATCCTTTCTTGATAAAAACTGTCAACGAATTGGGCATAGAGTGAGCATGCCTAAACATAAGAAAGCCCGTCTATGACAAGCCCCCAGCTAAGATCCTGCTTGATAAAAACCTGAAAACTGTTCTAAGTAAGATCAGGATCAAGACAAAGGTGCCCACTCTCACCATTCTTAGTAAGCATAGTACTGAATTCCAGGCAGAACAATTAGGCAAGAAAAAAAGTATGTATATTTCACCACAGTAAAGAAATGATCCATGAAGGAAAAAACCCTTGAATGGTAATAATGTTAAAATAACTATGATCTCAAAGTTACCAATAGTTTTTGCTTCCAAATGGATAAATTAGGTCATTTGTGAATCTTAAGTGCTAATTACAGATCTTCTCTTAAAATGCTTCAAAGAAGAAATTAAACAAATAAATGTAATTGAAAAATTAAAATTAAAACACAAATAAGTGAATCAGGTTTAGATAATACTTTTACAAGACAATTGCGCTGTAACTTTTCTTTATTTCACCACCATGAAAGAAACATCTACAATCAATCACTCTTCTCTAGTTAGCTGTGTGACAAGGTATCCTAAAAACAGGCATTTATCTCCAGCACAGGCATGGCAGTGCAGATCTTGATCCAGCTGTGCTTTCAGAAATATAAATACTTGTTATCAAAGTAAGATAGATTATACATTTGTCCTAAAAATGTGACAGAAGCAGTTTGGTAACCTCTACCACAATGTAAATTTTGCTAAATCTTAAGTAAGCTAATTCTACAAATCTACTCTACTACTCACATATACACTTAAATTACTATAAACGAAGGCGTTTAGTGGAGCGTTTTGCTTAAAATAATGAGAACTGGAAACAGTTTATAAGTTCATCCATGTAAATATAAACAAACGAGAAAATCGGACTCACTCGCCCGCCCTCCGGACGCACTCTCTCGAAGCCTGCGGGGATTGGCCACAGACGGAGGGGAGGGGCGGGCGCACGAGGAGGCGGGGAGGAGGGAGGTGCGGAGGAGCGGAGGCGCGCGGGAAGGGGTAGAGGGGAGGGGAGCGGGGAGGCGAGAGGGGAGGGGAGCGGGGAGGCGAGTGGGGAGGCGAGCGGGGGGCGGGAGCGGGAGTGATTCCCTGACCAGGGAAAAGCAGCACAATGGACAGAGAACGTATGACGCTGTTAGCCAAGGAGGAGCAATTCCCTGGTAAAACACATCACAGAGGAAAACGAAGAGGTCACTCGGTAGAACACGAAACGAAGAAGAGAGAGGTTAAAGATGGAAACAAAAATTCCGTGGAGCCAGCAGAGGCTGAAGGAGTGGAAGGTGAGGGCTTAGCTCTGTCACCGTTGGGAAGAGGCCCCCTCAGCGGCCCCTGCTGCGACCGGCAGGATTAGGAGACGTGGGATTTAGGAAGCACAGGCACGGGAGCTGCAAAGGCAGAGCGACACCCTGAAGCCAGGCGACGGTCTGGCTCTGAGGAAGGGCGAGTCCCGCCCAAAGCGCTTCTGCGGCCCCCGCTGTGCGCGGGAAGCGGATGCGCGCTCTTCCCTGCGGTGTGCACAAAACCCAGCTGCGTGTCCAGCTATAAACAGCACCTCCTCGGTCTCCAAAAAAGACACCCACATGCCCCAAGCACGATTTCAGGGCTGCGGAGAAAGCTGAGCGGCCGCAGAGCCGAGGGGAGCGCGGGGCTCTGCGCAGGAGGCCGCCCCTCAGCTCGCCGCCGCCGCGGCGCTTGGACCCTCCCCGCAGAGCGGTCTCCCGCCACCCGCCACAGCGGCTCGGGCCGGAGGTGCGGAAACCCCGGAGAGCAGGTTGCGCGCTTGCCTGGCGCGGTGATAGAGTGGGCCTTCCAGGCCGGTGCAGCGTCCTTCGCAGGACGGGAGGCCAGGGAGGTGTCGCCGCCGTCCCCGCGCCCGGGTACGGCGCCCCAGCAAGACCTTCCGGAAGACCTTCTCCTCCTGCAGGTCAGACCCCACCCATGATTACTCGACGGAGCCCAATAAAATGTATTGAGCAGCAAAACATAAACAAACAAACAAATTATGGTCCATCTACATTGTGTGATATGTATGGACTAGAAAGATTTTTGAAATATTTCAAATTAAAGGTATAGAACAAGAACTACAACATATGCCTACTTGCAAAAAAACTCCACAGGCATGAACACACAAACACATCATATATATACACACAGACATACAGGTAGAGATATACGCATACACAGGTATTGTGAACACAAAAGAGTGCTGTGTAATAAACCCGAAAACCTGGGGTGGGGGCACGCCGCAGATCTTACAAACTTGGTGACTGAAAGTAATCACACAGGATGGTCGTATCATGAATTCCTAGCTTGGCAGGTCAGGGCTGGGGCCATGTCCCAGGCATAGCTCCTTTAGCAAAGGTCAGTCTTTACATTCAGTCTGTCCATTGTTGCCACGACTATAGGAAAGTGACTTTCTATCCAACCTTTTCCGTTTCATGGTGCACATAAACTAATCACTAAAGTTCTGTGGAACACCAAAAAATACATTGTTTGCTGATCAGACAAAAAAAAAAAAAAAAAAAAGTAGGAGTAATTTTGTTTCTTTCACACCAGACAGCTATTGTTGTGTTGGCTGTTACCATTTTTTATTTTTTAAACAATAAGGGAAAAGAGGTCAGTGCCACTGACTTAAATAGTCAGGTACTGCATGTGTTAAAAATTCTAGCGGCACACCAGTTGAAAATCGCTGCTCTGGGATAACATACCTTTGAAATGCCAGCATAATTTTGTCTTCTAGACCCCTCCGATCACACCAGCTGCACGGGGGCAGACACCACTGAACCCCTCATGGTTACATCTTCACAGGACTCCATGTGCTGTAAATGTTGTCAACTATCCTGTACCCCACCAATGCAAAAGAAATGTGCTTCTCCACTTTGCTTTTTATCCAAGCCTAGAGATTTCCCTACTTTGCTTTCTCTCACTTCTCTAATGTACCAGCAAAGGATTTTCTGTAATCCTCACATTTTCTGCTTTGATTTTAAATGTTGGGTTGGCCAAAAGGCATATAATTTTTTTCTGTAAAATGCAAGGCACAATTTTCTTTTTTAAAGTATACTTAATTGATTATGCCATTATAGTTGCCCCAGTTTTTTCTCCACTTTATCCCTCTCTGCCCTGCACCACCCCATCAACATTCCCACCCCCTTAGTTCATTTCCATGGGTAGTACATGTAAGTTCTTTGGCTTCTCCATTTCCTATGCTATTCTTAACCTCCCCCTGTCTATTTTGTACCTACCAACTATGTTGCTTATTCCCTGTACCTTTTCGCCCATTCTCCCCCCTCCCCATCTCTGCTGATAACCCTCCATGTGATCTCCATTTCTGTGATTCTGTTCGTGTTCTAGTTGTTTGCTTAGTTTGTTTTTGTTTTTGTGTTTTTTTAGGTCTACTTGTTGATAGTTGTGTTTGTTGTCATTTTACTGTTCATAGTTTTATTCTTCTTTTTGTTAGATAAGTCCCTTTAACATTTCATATAATAAGGGCTTGGTGATGATGAACTCCTTTAGCTTTATTTTGTTTGGGAAGCACTTTATCTGCCCTTCCATTCTAAATGATGGCTTTGCTGGATAGAGTAATCTAGGTTGTAGGCCCCTGTTTTTCATGACTTCCAATACTTCTTTCCAGGCTCTTCTTGCCTGCAAGGTTTCTTTTGAGAAATCAGCTGCTAGTGTTATGGGAATCCTTGGTAGGTAAGTGTCTCCTTTTCTCTTGCTGCTTTTAAGATTCTCTCCATATCTTTAATCTTGGGTAATGTAATTACGATGTGCCTTGGTGGGTGCTTCCTTGGGTCCAACTTCTTTGGAACTCTGAGCTTCCTGGACTTCCTGGAAGTCTATTTCTTGTCCAGATTGGGGAAGTTCTCCATTATTTTTTCAAATAAGTTTTCTATTTCTTGCTATTCCTCTTCTCCTTCTGGCACCCCTATGATTCAGATATTGGAATGTTTAAAGTTGTCCCAGAGGTTCCTAAGCCTCTCCTCATTTTTTTGAATTCTTGTTTTTTCATGCTGTTCTGGTTGAATGTTTATTTCTTCCTTCCGCACCAAATCATTGATTTAAGTCCTGGTTTCCTTCCCTTTCCTACCCTTCACTGTTGGTTCTCTGTATATTTTGTTTTATTTCACTTTGCATAGCCTTCACTTTTTCCTCTATTTTGTGTCCATACTTAACCATTTCCGTGAGCATCCTGATTACCAATGTTTTGAAATCTGCATCTGACAGGTTAGCTGCCTCCTCGTTGCTTAGTTCTTTTTTTTGGAGTTTTGATCTGTTCTTTCATTAGGGCCACATCTCTCTGTCTCAGTGCATCTGTTAGCTGTAATGGGCAGAGCCTTAGGTATTCACCAGGACAGGACAA